GTTGAACAAGACAAATAGAGAATGCATGGGCATGTTGATACTCAGGGTTTGAAGATGCTCCAATTTGCATGATATTATGTACCATAATCTGCAAAGTACAAAGATATGTTAATCTCATTAAAAAAAAAAAAAAGGAAGAAAAAGATTCTTAATGTGCTGTTTCTATGCTTACAGCAAATGCAATGACAACTGTTTGCCCAACTTCAAGACCATTCAAACCAGCATGAATGTTGATGAAATTCGTGCAGAAGACTACCAGAAGTGCCATATATAATTTATAGATCCATCCTGTCAAAAATTAACCTTAGAATAACTCAATAATCTAATAAAAGAAAATAGAAAACTATGAAATAAATTATCAAGATCAGCATCTAGCATATGAAAGATATCTACAGAAACATGTATAATCTGTTTCACCTTGACATAAACCCTGCTTATGTACAACTTACCTTAGCTGTGATCAGTAACTGAATGTCATGGATCTCAGAAATTGAGCTCTCCAAATGAGAGAGCAAAAAAAGAGCAACTTACAACCACGTCCTGGAAGAGAGCAAATAACCAATTGGAGAGGAAAGGAATTCCATCTTGCAAACAAGTCAACTTAGAAGTTTCTGAAGATTTCTCATTCACATATATAGAGACTGGCAAATGAAACCAAGAAACTGGCAAGCATTTGAAATTACAAAACGAATGGAAGAAGAAAGTACATCAAGGAACAGAATCATTTAAAAAGATCATTTAAAAAGACAAGTATAGAATAATTTCTGAAGTTGTATAACAGAAGTGGATAAATTCCCTTCCTATTATCACTAAAGATGCAGAAACTAGACGGATCTCCAACTCTTGAATTGGAAAGATGAAAGGATTCACAAGTCATAACCATATCCAAACCAGTAATTTTCCCAATCCATGATGAAATCCCATCTCTTTACTACCAATCAAGTTAATAATTAATTCCGAAATTTAATTGTTTCTTTGTTAATGTTAAATTAATTATAAACATTAGTTCATACCTAGATCCAACACCTCTAGCCCAACATATGGAATTAGAGGCTTTGGAATAATGATGGTTGTATGTCCAGCATATGCCTTCAATAGGAAAAGAGTAGCAAATGATGGCAGTAATAGTTTCCTGCTCCACACGGTAATGTCGTAAGCATCAAGCAAAGTATTATCTCAAAAGTTGATATGGGGAAAAAAATGACAGGAATCTTAACATTTATACAAAAACCTTAAATGCCGCATACTCACACTCTCCAAGGAACATCCAGGACGTCATCTACAAATCCAAGCAAAATCATGAAGCAGATAGATGCCAATGCTGCATTGCACTCGACAAGCCACTGCATAAAGGAATAGTGAACAGCTCAATTGTCAATTGATTGAACAACCACCAAAAAATAGGCCAGTTTGAGGTAACCATATCCAAGAAACAAAACAACCACCATAAAGCTAAAGAATGGGTGACATGAAATTGAAATGGAAGTAATAACAAAAGCAAAACTTCTCAGAAGCCAAAATATGAAAGGGAATCATCCTAAAACTTTTATTTGAGCTCAGCTAAGTACATTAAAGCTAATAACTATTCACACCTCAAAATTGGTATCAGGCATCAGTAGTTTTTCAATTTTCTGAAACTTTCTTGTAGATACCCTAGAACTGAACCAGTTCAAAGCAGTGTAAGATTTTGTAGGGATAAGAAAGAAAGAAAACGAAAAGATGGGAACTTTTTGTGATAACATACATTTCGTACTTACGTTTGAATCTGCTGTGAAGTTAAAATACTGGAACACGATTGCCAAGACCAAGAAGATGATGCCTACATACAACAATTCCCAATGATTCAGGCCTGCCAAATACTCACTATTATCAATAAGTAGATTTTCATATAAGTGTTTGTCATGCAATTAATCAGTTATGCAGATGAAGCCCATCAGAACATATGCAGTGGTCTAACTACATAGTGAAAATCTAAAATCTAATGCGTCTTTGATTCACTTAAGCTAAAGAAAATTTGAATGAAAACAAGTCCCCCTGCATCTCAAGAACTTTGATGAAGGGTGGAGAAGAGATTTTAGCATCTAGCAACCTTAAAAAGCAAAGCTAGAAAAAGAAACAGATGGTTAATATATAATTGTAACAATTAAAAGATGGATCCGGGTGAAAAGATACATATGAAAATTTAGAATTTAACAGGTGGGAAATTTTATTAATTCATGTGATAATGATATTGACATTTAAGAAACAGAAAGGAAAATAAGAAAGCTGAGACATTTATTTGATTGAACAATGCAGGTGGCAACTAAGAATCCAGGGAATGCACAGTTAGCACTAATGAGCTAGTAGAACTAATGACTCTTTAAAAGCCAACGAATTTGATGAGAAAAAGAATCCTAAACAAGAACACATTTCATGAATTGGAATCGAAACCCATACCCAGTT